CACACTATATATATATATATATATATATATATATATATATACCTTGTACAAGGTATTTCTTCCCTGTCCCGGCCTGAGCACGTGCAGCCAAAATTCTGAGGTGGATTAGGACCACGAAATCTTCGGTCAATATCTGGCACGTCAGCTTACGAGCCATATCATACTGAACGTGTGCTGCGACGACGTGCCTATTTCCGTAAGCATCTGAGGAGACACAAATGACCTCATCCGCGAGAACGAACCCCAGCGACGGCAACCATACTGTACACACTGAGTGGCTTCATAAAAGTGCTGGTATTGTTAACACTAATCAAATAGTGCGATTCTTCCTTTGAATCTGTGGCGTTTTGAGTAAACCCTTTAGGTTTGTTCGGTAGCAGAACACTGTTGACAGTGCTGCGGTTCCGTAAGAGGATGTCACATGCGCCAAATGGGTCTGTGATAATATTAAGGAGGCTTTCTTGGCTTTATGGTCATTCGTCATTTATCAATTCATGGGTTTGTGTGCTTGATTGTCTGGGGTCACTAAATGTGAAACGCGTCTTCAATTGAGCATGATTTTTGACATCCCTCTCGCGTTCAGAATACTTTGATTTCAGGGTAGCGCCCCTTATCTGAATGACTTGAGGGACGTTGTGAATTACTCCGCGATCTTTAGCAGATCGTCTGCTCTTCATGTAGCTCAGTAGCTTTCGTCCATCATTGAAACTTTGGAAGTCACTCAAGAGAAGTTTCTTCACCGGTTGAGGGTCATTGACATAGATTTCGGCGGTTCCTAACACTCAAATAAACTGAACGCATATTCATATTTCTTGTATAAGCTCCATATGCTAACTCATACCGACGCGTCTACAGGGTGCTTCCACCTGTTTTTTCGTACATTGCTGTCAAACGGGGTCGCCCCCTTCCGGCCTTTCTTTTTAACCTTATGGTTGATATAGTAGTGAGATCTCTTCTTCTCTGCCACACCTTTGGAATCCAGTTGCCCCCGGGGCGTTAAATCACGGCACACCATGGCGTGTTTTTTGACGATAGGGCGCAGCAATTAAGTTAATCGTGCCACACAACAGTATGCACTTCGCAGGCCCCAGGTCTCTACCGATCAGGAAGTCTGTGTCCGAAAAAATCCGGTTGTTTCAGCAGCTCTACAGCTACCATGAAGGACGCTGAATTAAGATCAGATCGAATTTTTCCATACTGCCGCTACCTGGCAGCACCGGCACGACAGCCTACATTTTCCTCCCTTACGCGCTTGCGGATTATTGTTCCAACAACAAAATACAGACTTTGCATAAGAGTCTTCAGCAGACTGAGCGAAGAAAGCGACCTGGTTCCGGCCTCGAGAATTGTGACTCCGTTACGGTTTGTAAGCCCGTATGGATGGAAAACGTCCTGTGATTCCTGCACCATACTGGTTGAGATCACTAGTGAGTCGACTATCGAAATATCACAGTATGGATGACCCAAGTGGTTAGAGCGCGAATTTACTGACCGCAAGGTCCGTGTTTCGAATCCGACCTCCGCCTCTCGACTTTCCCTGTCTAGGCTTGGGCACCCTGGCAGTATCCCGGTCCTCGTGCAACCTTCGGATGGCATGGCACTTAGGCACCGAAAGGGTGCTACAACTGGACGAATATAGATAAAAACGACTAATTCTTGTTTTACACTGCATTTGCTGCACTTGCAATATACCGCGCATAAAAGGTACCATCAGTAGATTGCAGAGCGAAATTCTGTGCCTGTTTGCGAAAATACAGTGATCACCTATCTTGATTTTCCCGTAGAATGGCGTTTATTTATCGCACACTGTAATCGGTCTTGTGCGTATCCTTCCCCCCTCATTTCTAGTCAACCTAAACACTTTCTTGGATTTGCTGCAACCAATGAAACAAAAACAGTGTGGTGCCACAAAGCGTCCGGAGTTCGCTGGCGTAGCCACAGCGGATGCAAAAGGACTTTGTCAGCTCTATCGTGCCTTGCGAGAGAAGGAGAAAGAATGATCAACCATCGTTTTGTACCTAATAATCAACTTGTTCCACAGCTCTTTACGTTTCTCTGCACGCGGAAAACTGGGGCTTAGAATGCGCTGCTTTCATAATACAGCCATCTAATTCAGAACGATCACTACCACCGGGAAATCGGAGTGTTTTCTTCAATGAGGGTCACTCTCACTATTTAACCTTAAAAGTTAGAAACGGAACGAAATTCATCAGTCATTCGGATGTGTGTTCATCATTAGCTCTAATTTCTTGCATGAACTGAAACCAGCTTTCCATTCACTGCAACGTCAGGAAATCCTTTTTGTGTTTGTTCAGTCCAACGCAACACATTTAGCTATATGAACTGGCTGATTTGCAACTTGGCTATCGCCTGCGCAAAAGGCTATCAGAAATATGCTGTACGAAACCACCAAGACCTCCCGTTTCTCTTGATTTTCCTTATCCCCGTTCAGCTCAATAATCTCAAATCCAATCAAGTTAGTCGTTCAGCTATAGCATACTTTGGGTATCTAGCTACCATGTCACCCGAAGGAAGCACGAGGGCTGAGATACTGTCAGGGTGCTCAAGCCTAGACTGCAGCAGTTGAAATTGCAGGGTTGGATTCAAACGACCTACCTACCGGTGAAGTTTGTGCCTCAGTGGTCCTAAACCATGCTAAAAACAGACCGTATCGTCACATCACCTTCATCCGTGGTATCATGCAGCGCGACCTGCATTGTCCATTATAGTCAACGTGGGAAGCTTCATGTATTTCAAGCATGCAAGGCCTTCAATCCGTCCCACAACTGGCCAGACCCTAAAGTGCGAATAGGTGGGGCTGTTTTTTGTTAGGGGCACTTTTTATCTGGTTATTTGCAGATTTCTCGCAGCTTCCGCATAGACGGCGAGTACTCCCGTACTGTCCTTCAACGGACATTTTGTTTCTCATATTGATATAATAATGCATAAATTAGTCCTGGAGGTCACTGTTAAACCGCGTTTGTCGAATGAAGATGAGGGTTTTCTTGGCTGGGTCAAGGAAGTGACCTGGATAGCGCTCCACACTCACTCAATATGTGAAACGATGTTTTAGGGGTGATGTGCCTTTAACTAAGAAACATCACAAACGAGAGATTCGGCTGGGTTCCAGGTGAGTCTCCCGTCAAAACCAGATTGGTATGCAAATGAGTGGATCTCACTAAAACCAATCAGTTTGATGAGCAACTGTTTTGGGTGACGTGTGCTCAGAATTTGACTATCGCCGAAAGTATTACGAAAAAACGGGTGACGCTATCAACGTTTCGCACGCCATACTGCCGGCTATACTTGATGAAACACCAACGGTTAATTGCTTTCTGAGCAGTTAATGTTGTAAACCGATAGAAAGCTACTTGATGGAGACGTGATTTCTGAAGGGCTACGGGAATTCGTGGTGCCAATCTAGCTTAAATGGCCTAGTTAGTGTCCAGGTCTGAAGTACAGTGTGTGTTGCCTGAACGTATTCCTGTCTCTTGGATGCTACTGGATCCAACTAAAATTGGGACTTTGGGATCTCGGTGTTGGAGCGCTCTCCGACGCTGTAGGCAGACGCAACAATGCGGTATCTTGTGGTCCGTCAGATTTTCATTTGATTCTTACGTACGAGGTTCGGGAAACAAATGAAACCCAAATGTAAATAGATCATCCATGTCAACTTTTGATCAGCAGTTCCTGTTACCACTATTCTCAATGTCACATCCGTTCGACACAACTGGATGAAACGATTTTTTAACGCGCCCAACCCCAACTTCGTCTTTCATTCACGTTGAATCGACAAACCCGCTTTTGCCAACCAGGAGAGTAGCCGGTTCCGCTTATCTGGTGAGTCCATTCTCTGCGAAACAGGTTTTATTGCAGGATGAGTTCGCGCACTAAGGGAACGATTGCGAGGCTAAGCAACACACCTGCTTTCATTACTTTCGGTTCAGCGGAAAGCTCTGCAACCATCCCACTCCGCTGCATTATATGGCGCCATGAATCAACTTGGAAGACCCCGGTGACAATCCCGAAACCGGTTTCGTTCAGTGTGGTGGCAACTGTTGATCGCACCATTTCTTTGGAGTTTACCGCAGCTTATGAGTCGGTGGAATTCCAAGATGATGAATAATGATGCGTCCGTTTAAACTTCTGTCAATCATCGGTTCGCTTGCCGGAAGACCGAAACCTATTTCGACCGAGCTGCAATGTGGAGGATATCGAAATCAGATGTTTGTCAACTTCTAGATTTTAGGAGAGGTGTTTCTTCAAGACTGAAATTATTCAATTATTCCTCCGAGTTTTTAAATGTAAAACCGTATTCCACAGACTACATTAGGATGGACTCGTAATCTCCCACCATTAGCTGGTAGCCCCACAAAAGTCGGGACAATATAAATAAAAATAAACTCCGGAAGTCCTGGACACTTTCCTCTTAATTACAATGCTGATTCCACGAATGACTACCTATTTAAGCGGGACAACTTTCTGTAATTGGTTCTACAGTAAGTGTTCAGGACAAGCGTTATGCCTCAGACCCCTTCATTTTATTTCTTCGTTCGTAGTGGGCAACAGTATCCTATTTTGAAGGTCATAATCTCTTATTTTGTCATGAAGTTGCCGTCGCTATTATGGATTTCCTGAGGTGAATCGGTGGGTGCTATTGATGTACTGGGATGTTTGTCGGATCGAACTGACAGCATTATGTAGATAAACAGTTAATCTATGTGGTTGGTTGGACTGTACTTTTTATTGTTATTCATATACCAGAACAATGTTCTGAAAAAAGCTGCGCTACTGGGGGTAGTTAGGCCAGGATTTTGACAGTTGCCCTCCTAAACGAGTGAAACACACAACTTATGCTAATAACCACATCTCAAAGCGATTTTAAAGTAAAATAAATCCGCGTGAAGTTGTGCCACTACTCAGTTTGACCTGTGTACAATACGAGTCCTAAATAAAGCAGCTCGTTACGAGCAGGTACAGAGCTGTCCTGCGAAGCTTATTCAAGGAATGAAACTCGGCATCCGTAGCACAAAGCTGTGTTGCGAATTCACCTTTGTCTTGCGCAATAGAGGGACCACTGATTTCACTTGAGCGTCTGTATTCAAGGTTAATAAAATGGTGTACAAAAGGCTGGACGGCAGTCAATAGGAGCCTGTCGGGTCAAAAATAATAATTGATATACAATAATATGATACATATAACGCTGTTTCGTCCATCAAGCAATCGATTAGTTGCCAAAGACAGGTGCCTATTTTGCTTTCAACGTTGCTAATGGAATGATTACTAGTGTCCGCCCCTCGTCGGCCACGCTGACCACCACAGAACCTGCCGAGGAATGTACCGTTTGTCCTTCTGACTTCTCTTTGAGAAAACTGAGAATTGTCTCTGGGGCAACCGAACAAGATGGTCCGGCTATTCCCAAAGGTACCAATTCCTTTGACCAACGACGGAGTATGGCTGCTAGTATCGACGAAGAAAAACTCGTCGTCGAGTTTTGCAGCAGCACTGTCGATGGTGGAAGCAGCTGAATTGAGCGTTCATATTTCGCCGTCCATGGGTTTATGACACGTAGATAGCCCTGGAAGACGAATGAAATCCAAGGTTTGGTGGTACTAGGGTAGCTCGGTTAAATTTCATGACTCGGTCACTTTTGACAACAAATCAGTGGTAACTAGTTGAATGTAAGTGCAAAGGGTAAATTGCATAGATTTGGCTTGGAGGCTCCCGCTTTATGCAATGCCTGGACATAGTACGGAGTGGAGCAGAAGGGGTATAGACTACCATCCAGATTACCTCCGTATGAAACGATTAAGGCTTTCTGAAACTCCTGTAAGACAAAGTTGCGGAGATAGCGCGGTTCACTAGTGACGCGACCAAGAAGTCCTAAATGCTACTTTTCTTCAAGGCAACCGAGGCTATTGCTCACGGAGTGTCCGTGTTTCAGACAGCACCGAACAATGGGAAGGTCTCAGAGATGCCTGAGCTCTTAAGAGTTTGTGAATAACACAATGACTCAAAATAAGTACGACCGTAATCGTTGGTGGTATGCTGAAAATGCCCGCAATACAGTATTCATAAACTGTGTCAAGGCGCATTGGTACCAAACAGATCTCATAGTTGGTTCGTTCATCCTCTTCCAAGACTACTGTCCACAAAAGTTCACAGTCTCACGCAGCTACATGACGGTACAGAGAAACGCGAATTTATCCACACGAAGCCCAGCAGGCCTAGTCAAAAATTCAAAGTCCAGCTGCGGCGTCTCTCCCAGAAGCAAAATGTATAAAAACGTGGCAGAATAAAATTATACGCAGAATGCAGCTGATTGAACCTAAAGTTCACCGCCAGTATTATGGAATAAGTATAAAACGGGAGGGAAATGTATAATAAACGTGCTCGAAGGACCGTAACCAAGCGAGCAAAACTGTAGTGATAAGTGTACTAGTCAAAAATGGTTAACGGTCGGCTTAACGCTTTCGCCAGATATCCGGAACAAGCGGGCGTATCGTCATATTTCAAAGAAACAGCCCTGTCCAGGTTTAAAAATTCTTGCTACTAGCCGGACAAAATTTTCCTTTTGAGGTTAGATCCCGCCTCCGAAGGCTAAACCATAAAATCCAAAGAAACGCACCATTGTTTTGTGGCTATCCAATTCTTGATATGGCTGGACATTTCCTCGTCAGATATTTCTCTTTATTTGATCGTCCAGTTTTCCTGGACGCACTGTTAGTCAACAAGAATTTTTGGTGTGGACCACGACAGCGAAACGGCTGGGAGGTCACATTGCGGTATAGTTAAACCTTGATATACTGAGGAACGCGCCATGAAATTTCAGACTAACGGATATTCGAAGATGCAAAGATGGGAGGAATAACTTCAGGTATTCTGAGACGGTCCGCAAGGCAGGTGGAGCTTACGGATTAGCGGGACTGTCTGGGTACCCATGTGTATTGGAAATTACAGTGGCTATCGGTGTTTATCGGTTTCATGACGACCAGTCGCAAAAAAATGGGTCAAAAGATTGAGGTCGATCGTCAACTAACGGTGATCTGTCCACTGAAGACAAGATTCTGGTACTGCATCGTGGTTGATGCCAAAATACATGCCGGCAATCGGGTGTAATTTTTGAACGTTCGCGAAACCTCCCGGCTTCTTGAAAGTCAGTAGGCTCATTCGAATTGACCAATTTTTATGGAAGAAATTATATATAAAAGAGGTTCTGATAACAGTGTCCATTGGTCATACTTGGTGGAGGGTTCACTTCAAGGAACTAGTTAACGTAATCGGCCACTTGTCAAGTGTAATATGGAAATCTGCCAAAGAGAGACTTCCGGAAACATGCCATAACTTTGAAATCATCATCACTGTGAAGCATCGGTGTTAAACACTGATGTCATGCTGTCGATGATGATAGTGATGATCAACTGTAAGAACCGCGTACTTGTCGTAAAGTGGTTGTAGCTGCCACAATTTCGTTCACTGATGATTTAGGGATGTGGAGTAGGTAGCTGCGATTTGGAGGCGGGAGCTGATAAACTGGTGCGTAAATGCGGCACTGTCAGTGGACTGTCAAGTGGGGGGATCGGAAAGGGAGCTATGACTCATGAAATACCCCATTATTATAGGTTAGCAACCTTCTCTCATGGATGGACTCTTTTGCAGGAGAGTACGGCATCGCGACATTATCGTATCATATGCAAATGCTTGAGCTCTATATCCCGTTCTGAATGTAAACGGAAACAAATCGTGGATGAAACATTAATTGTTCACACAACTGCTAATCAGGAAAACCCAACGTGAAGTTACTCATTAAGGCCACTCAAAGAGCGCTCCACATAATCAACGGTCAACGTCTAATAGATTGAAAAGTTTTAAGCCATGACTACATTGTCTCCAGTCGGCAATAGTTCACCACAATTACGGCACTTCTACTGGTGATAGGAAAAAAATTAAAATCGTCTGTTTGAAACATCCCTTCGGCATTTCGACAATCGGGAAACGAGAAACTGAAACAATGCCAGTTAGCCCTAGACCTAGGAAAGATTTGAATCTCTTGGTCGGTGACCTGTGACTTGGTCCAACAATGGAAAGCCTAGTTGAATTTTCTCACCTGATCGCCAAATATCACTCGATTTTCGAAAGTTAATAAAGGATCCCCAGGTCTGATGGTGGAGAGATTCTGGGGATGAGAGGAGAGGATGATAAAATTGAAGCAAAGTTTTAAAAAATAATGAGTATTCTGCATTAACAAAGATGAAACCATTTAAAATGTGAAAATGACTGGTTGTGCGAAAAAAGCTAACATTCAGGATAGAAGAATCCATTCCGACTGGTCAACCCTCCATTCCTACTCGGCATTAACAAGAATTTTTGGTGTGGAACACGACAGCGAAACGGCTGCGAGGTCATATTGCGGTATAGTTAAACCTTGATATACTGAGGAACGCGCCATGAAATTTCAGACTAACGGATATTCGAAGATGCAAAGATGGGAGGAATAACTTCAGGTATTCTGAGACGGTCCGCAAGGCAGGTGGAGCTTACGGATTAGCGGGACTGTCTGGGTACCCACATGTATTGGAAATTACAGTGGCTATCGGTGTTTATCGGTTTCATGACGACCAGTCGCAAAAAAATGGGTCAAAAGATTGAGGTCGATCGTCAACTAACGGTGATCTGTCCACTGAAGGCAAGATTCTGGTACTGCATCGTGGTTGATGCCAAAATACACGCCGGCAATCGAGTGTAATTTTTGAACGTTCGGGAAATCTCCCGGCTTCTTGAAAGTCAGTAGGCTCATTCGAATTGACCAATTTTTATGGAAGAAATTATATATAAAAGAGGTTCTGATAACAGTGTCCAGTGGTCATACTTGGTGGAGGGTTCACTTTATGGACTAGTTAACGTAATCGGCCACTTGTCAAGTGTAATATGGAAATCTGCCAAAGAGAGACTTCCGGAAACATGCCATAACTTTGAAATCATCATCACTGTGAAGCATCGGTGTTAAACACTGATGTCATGCTGTCGATGATGATAGTGATGATCAACTGTAAGAACCGCGTACTTGTCGTAAAGTGGTTGTAGCTGCCACAATTTCGTTCACTGATGATTTAGGGATGTGGAGTAGGTAGCTGCGATTTGGAGGCGGGAGCTGATAAACTGGTGCGTAAATGCGGCACTGTCAGTGGACTGTCAAGTGGGGGGATCGGAAAGGGAGCTATGACTCATGAAATACCCCATGATTATAGGTTAGCAACCTTCTCTCATGGATGGACTCTTTTGCAGGAGAGTACGGCATCGCGACATTATCGTATCATATGCAAATGCTTGAGCTCTATATCCCGTTCTGAATGTAAACGGAAACAAATCGTGGATGAAACATTAATTGTTCACACAACTGCTAATCAGGAAAACCCAACGTGAAGTTACTCATTAAGGCCACTCAAAGAGCGCTCCACATAATCAACGGTCAACGTCTAATAGATTGAAAAGTTTTAAGCCATGACTACATTGTCTCCAGTCGGCAATAGTTCACCACAATTACGGCACTTCTACTGGTGATAGGAAAAAAATTAAAATCGTCTGTTTGAAACATCCCTTCGGCATTTCGACAATCGGGAAACGAGAAACTGAAACAATGCCAGTTAGCCCTAGACCTAGGAAAGATTTGAATCTCTTGGTCGGTGACCTGTGACTTGGTCCAACAATGGAAAGCCTAGTTGAATTTTCTCACCTGATCGCCAAATATCACTCGATTTTCGAAAGTTAATAAAGGATCCCCAGGTCTGATGGTGGAGAGATTCTGGGGATGAGAGGAGAGGATGATAAAATTGAAGCAAAGTTTTAAAAAATAATGAGTATTCTGCATTAACAAAGATGAAACCATTTAAAATGTGAAAATGACTGGTTGTGCGAAAAAAGCTAACATTCAGGATAGAAGAATCCATTCCGACTGGTCAACCCTCCATTCCTACTCGGCATTCAAAACTATCCACAAAATACCTACTCATATATCGGGTTGGAATTGTGGGAATTCAGCTAAGGAAACATCGGGTGGGGCTTCTGGACGAAGCGTGCCTATTGTGATTGTCCACTTTAGCATGTGAAGATAACGCTGACTTACCAAACGAAACGTTCTCAGAAGGCTTGGGGGATCCAGGTTCCAAATCGCCACGGTACTATCTAGTTCACAGGTGACGAGCCGAAAGGCTTTTACACAAGGCCTCTGCAACCCATCTGAGTCAATCAATCTCAAAGCGTTACTCATCGAATACCAGTGGAGCCCGACAGAACCAGAGTGTGCGTGTGGTGTGGAGCGCGTGTGATTTGTCGTGGAATGTTTCCGGTCCCGAGCCAAGTGGATCGGGTCACCAATCATATCCAACGAAAGACTGAAGGAAGCACTATCTGTCGGAGACTGTGCGTACAATCCGAAACTGACGGCATATAGATTCCCAGACGCATAGCTCACAGCCAACATCAGCTGTAACGTGGGTTGAGTAAAACAGTGAGCAAAAACGTGCTTCACCTCGAAACGATAAATAAAAATGACGTTCTGAGAACATCTTCAACCCCTGATTCAGAATATCTCTGCAAAAAAGCTGACTGGGTTTTTCTTAGGGTAAACTGAGTGGGGCCTCAGGAGAACTACTATGCGTATTATGTGGCATCCCTGGAAAGTGGATCACGGACATTCCCTCCTACGAATGTCCCAGAATCATAGATCGTATCAGTTAGTATCGAGGAATACCCAGTGGAGTGATTGGTCGGAGCGTTGATGCACCAATGCGCATGGTGGGTGATCGCCAGTCGCAACAAGCTCTGTTTTCGGTGTCACAATCGAGATGCCCCTAGCCATACAATAGACTACGTGTGGTTTGACATAAGTGAGAGCAATTGTGGAAGTTTTCGGATGATTCCAGTGAGATCCGTCTTTAGGAGTGTGCCTGTTAGACAACTTACAAGATATGACTGTCACTTCATACCGATGCCGTTCTTGCTGTCAACTTCCTATGCGCTAAGGGGCTAGGATTTGCAAGGTCATGGAATCAATCCTAGAAATTTTTTCTGAACATCTACTTAAGGCCGCATAGAACAAGCGATTGAGGGGGGGGGGTGATGTCCGCACAGTTCAGTTAAACCACGGAAACATTTCCATTGAAGCCGTCAAGTCAAACTATGACGGGAGATCTAGCGCATTTTGCCTTGGTATGATATTCTGAACCAGCCATAAGACATCGATTCACAAAAGTTTAGAACATGCTAGCTGAGACAGTGATTCTTGTGGACTTGTGTCGGTCACACTGTTACAGACGTTACAATGCCAATCGCGCAGACGTTTGCTGCATCCACTTGGACGATGTAATTCGACTTCGTTATCACTGGCATTCTGTCCGTGCTTATTTTAGCATACCACAAAGCTGCCAACCGAAATTCTTTCATTCCATGGTGCACACGTCAGTCTGCAATCTTCGAACGATGAATCGCAGTTTCACGTGATGCTAACATTATCCTTCATCAGATGATAACATCACAATGCGGCTGAGTGGCAAATGCGATATTTCACTCGACTTTCACTCATGAAGCAAAGTCACCTCTCTTGGTATTCGGCTTGTGTATGCACTCTACAGACCGTGTGATTATGGCCACAAATGCCCGAGCGGACCATTTGTCCTCTCCGACAAAGCGATATCAATATCCCCAACATCCGTGAAGGAAGTTATCAGCGGAAACGAAGTTCAGATGGGGGGCACTGAAATTGGATGGAGTTTTAAACTCTTATTACCGCAACATAAAACTACTTACTTCCTAGAGAAACTGAATATCCTGCATGAACTTCCCGGTGTTCTAACATCAGACAATGTGTCTTTAAATCGATCTCAGGTTGCATCAAAGTTGGCGTTGTGTTACGATGATCACAAAAGTGATGGTTCTCTATTGTGGGTGATTACAACAGCTACCTACAGTTTGAGCTAAAACAACCGCGAGAGAGACTGAACTCCTTTTAAGGGTTTTAGAGCATGGGACAATAAAGGCTTACCTTGGAGAAGTCGAAGCTCAGTATGGCCGCCGAATCCAGAGAGACTTGGTAGAGACATTCGCCCGTGGATGTACTGTAGAACTGAAAGCAAGCAATACATGGACAAGTAAAGCAGTCGGAATAGGCGTATCGAGGAAATTCTGAGGTGTTGATGAACCAAAGGAATGTGAGTGACGCTACGCGAAATTGTAATGAGCCGACTTCAATTAAAAGCAAAAGGAAGATATTATTTTTATACGGTATGGTTGTGGTCAGTAGGGAGTCAAAAAAAAGCTGATCAGACTGGAGATTCCGCACCACGAAGAAGCTGCGACCTGTCCCAGGTACGTACGAGCTCACGATGCCACAGCCGACAATTCTATTCGCTAGTACCTGGTACTATCTTCAGGAGAAGCTGAGGACCTAATCTACGAAAAGGTCGCATAAACTCTCAGAGTCGCCGTTTGAACACAAAAAAAACAGACTCCTCAAGACGTATGAAGATAGGTGTCGCAAAATAATGGAAGCCAGTGGCTGTGTTACAACAGGCGTGAGGCTTATACCCCTATGGTTGGAAACTGTCGGTCCAGTACCTGATTTGAATAAGAACGAGTGACCACCGAGTGGCCCAAATTATCTGAAACCTGTTTTTGATCCAAAATCCGAACAAACAACCTAGTTTCGGCAGAACGAAAAGATTCCCCTCCACCTTTTAGCAACGCTGAACAAAGTTCATCTGGCCCGATACTCCGACGGCGCTTCAAGGCACATTAGTACTACACAATTTGACGGGGTGTATAGACCCAAAAATGACGGTCGAATGAAGAAGTTAGGTACAGAACAGAGGATGAACAAATTTGTTGAGAACATCCCACCCAGCGATTTAGACTCTTGTCCTTAATATAGATTATGTTTCCCAAATCATCTTTGATAAGGTAACTTTTAGGTCCTGTTTTGTGGATTAAAGGAAGAAGTACGGTTCATTCCCAACTGCAGCGGCCTCCTCCATTTCTTAAACTTCTTGTTTCCACCACGCCCCTGTCCATACATATTTTACGCTGAGAACCGTCGCCTCTTCGACTACGCGCAATTCTGCAGTGGTTTGATCAATCCTGACTCGCAAATCCTGTTCGAATACCAAGTATGCCAATCAGGACTGTGTATGGGCCAGTCTAGCTATCGGACATGCGGAAAAAACATTACGATACTTATATCTTTGTAATGTACTACTCATAAGATTGCTGAAAATCCATCGACAGTCCACGACCGGTTTCGCCCTTTTTGGGGCTCATCAGGTAGGCGCAGTCCCCGGGGTTCCGTCAACCTTATGTTCTACTTGAAACCAAATTGCACAAAATTAGCGAATATACACTCATTTGCAAACTAATTTGGTTCTTTCGAGAGACTCACCTGGAACCCAGCTGAATCTCTCGTTTATGATGTTCTCAGGCATATCACCCTTGTTTCGCGGAACAATTGCAGATGGTTGTTGGACACTCCAACACAGGACTGTTGTTATTTTCCCGTCTAGTGTGACCATATTGCTTAACGTCCCATAGAAATGTGTCCCAAGAATAAATGGCTAGCCATTGTAGCTTCCTGCTATTGTGGATTCGTTCTTCTTTTATCGGGTCATTCAGCAGTAGGTTAGAACATATGGATCATCGACAGTGGATTACACAGTATCGCATTTTCCCGAATAAGGTCATCTTAGGACCACTTGACTGTACGCTGTGCATGCGTTGTAACCATTTTCATGCACTTTAGATATAAGGAACTTCGAGATGCCTGACAACCCTCCAATTTTAAAGTACTCGTCATATGCATGGACACGGTCCTCAGCAGTCACATTTCGCTTTCTCCGACAGATTCCGCGTTAAATACCTTGGCTTCTTCGCACTATAACTGGAAGAGTTGGGTTGGAAATTGTTCACAAATTTAATCGCCGTTCATTCTCGAGTCCCTGAAGGCCGAACTTTTTTCTTTCTCCAACCTCGTAAGAATGGTGGTGTCACAGTCCAATTGACCCAAATGAATTGCTAACAAGAAAGTGAAGTGAATATCACCCGTGAGCAACGATATTTTGTATTCATGTTCACTGAATGTTCGAAGGTCGCCCATTGTGGATGCGGTCAGGTGCTAGTAACTGCACTCAAACGGGACCCAAAGTAATACTTTCTGAGTTCCGAACAAGTGAGAACGAAACTGTGACCATACTTAGTGAGAAAGCATCAGATGATGTGTTCAAAATCATGAAAGCAAGAAAAACATCTGGTTTGAATGAAGCAACGAACGTATGATGTACGTATCAGAAGTTCCGGTTATATTCATCTCTAAAAAGCAGATTGTGTCCAAGTTGCTGTTTTGGAAAGGATGAACGTAAATACACTTTGTTTGCCGATAGGAATGCATAAGTAATTCATATCGCACAGAGACATAAATCATTGACTGGCTTACACAGACTCGACCGTCTTCTGAACCACTAATGAGGATCCAATGTCTGATGTGCGTTTGTGACTCGCCGGTGTGATTCGAAAGCATTGTACACTTCAGTCCCATGACCGGCCGAGAGTGAATATGCCATTGTCGGGTTGGGAAACGTGCTGTTGAGCTTTGTTCATTGCATAAATCGAACCAAGCTACGTGTCCCCGACTGGTACCAATCGCGAAACTGTGCGAATAAAAAGTGAGGTGGTTCAAAGAAGTGACATGGAAAGCAAATCAGCCCACCAGATCCAGTGGCATATTTGAGGGTATGAACACCCATTGAAATTACCTTTGTTCATCTGTTACTCGGAGAACGGTTACACCACCTGGATGTTGTGAACGAGGCTGTGATGAGGATGAATTTGTTTCGAGGCAAGAAGTGTCTTCGGCCTCCAAATCTGGGTAGAACAGAGTTGAAAGCTGAGCAGACTTGCAGTCCCAACGCTGAAAAACGAACAGATATCATAAACAGAAAATGCGTCTTTACAACATACCTCAACTGTCCCATCACTGCAGCCGGCGAGCAGCGACCCACCGCACAGGAAACGCATTGTCCACACAGTCGCTTTGCAGAAAAAGAACAAGAGATGAACAATCAGAACGGGCAACAAGGTGCAAACAGGCTATTGTAAGGGATACGGTGATTTCTCGAGTATTCTTCTCAAAATAAAACAGCATCCTTACAAGGATCAATTCACTGATAGGTAGACGGGCAAAACAGCGCATGGATGGGGATTGGACAACTTCTGTAATGTTAGTTCTAGGGTAACAGCGAATACTGCTGACGAGGCATGTGAGTAATAGGTGGTTTTCTCGAAGCTCCGCATCGCGTCTAATGGAAGGTGAGGTTTGTTACAGAACTTGTGAAACTAGTTTGCAGCGTTCGTTTATAATTGCATGATAGTCAATGAATATCCACGAAATTTCAAAAGGACGCGTGAGTGTTCATTTTTTTTAAATACTATGCGCATATGAGACGTTTACTTTCTCGTCGAATAGTTTGTAACTGTTTAGTTGATGTTTGCTAATAAAGGACATCGGCTTTCCTCCTTTCACTAGCACCCGACCAGCAAACACCGTTTCCCGTAAAAATCGGGAACCGCCGATGTTAATTATTGCATTGATTAAGGCCCATATAACTATAGGAAGACAGGATTTTCAGTTACCAGGTTAAGCTGAGTGGGTGATCACCGACGTAGCTTATTATGGTTGGTGAGTGCAACTTTTGGACACCTTAAAAACAAGTACTGTGGGGCGTGAATTTCGGACAACAGTACCTAACGGCGGGGGGGGGGGGGGGGGGGGGCTGGTTTACTTCAATTTACCAACCCCTTGGAAAAACCATCACAGGACGAGTCTTCGGACCTCTCTTAATGTTATCAGAAATCCGATATACGTGTGGCTGATCGTGAAAAAAACTGCGGAGCTTTGCAGTAAGAGGATAGTATTCAGTGCCAAAGGTTTGCTATTTTTCTTCCAGTGACCGGCGAGTGATTTGAGCTTCGCGCTAATTTCTTAGTTAAACAATTGTCGTCATATTTTCCTTCAGATGCCCAGACACTAGGATCTGCTGTTTTCACAGCCGGAAGTGTTCAGTTTGAATTTCCCCGAAACGTAAAACTCGAGGGGTGTCTTCTTTCATATGGCATGCACCGCATGGTAGACTGGCACCTCACATGACCATCCTCTTTGCTGTGCCACTTGAGAATTGAAGTGTATTTGTGAATTTGTTTGTGGGTTGGTAGCTAGCTCGGTAGATGTGAAACGTCGCAGTGCTAATATCCAGGACTGCGGCACGGCGAACCGGGGCGCTTGATTTGTTGTGCTGTTTTGCAGGTATTTTGCAATGTAAACAGTCATTTGCCTCCAAAGCGGTGATTATGTTTCTATCGCCTATGATTTTTCGGTAGTACAGAAACTAGAACGCGAACGCGGGATGATCTACACGCGGCGGACTCCTGTTCGATACATGGATTAAGACAAAGTCCCAAGAGCTGTAAGAAAACCACATCAGAAAGGGCTTGCTGGTAAACTTAATTCTCAACGTTGACCTTCATCCCATTGGATTTCAAATTCCAACGGTTTTTGGTAGCGATGGTGAATAAGACTACGGTTAAACTGACAGACACAGCAGGCATACTTACATCGTCGTTGGGCAGGTAGTTTAGAGTGCACCGCAGAATTCTGTCTAACAAACACCGCCGAACTGGAATATCTGTTAAGAAAGGGGATAGATGTAATAGACGAGTCGAATGAATGTGACTTTAAAGTATGAATTTGATAAGGGGTCCCAAAATGCACCTCTTTCCGCACAGCACAGAGACAAGTTGACATGAATTATCAGCCGACAGTTTCGACGAACCCGCCGAGGGTCAACTGAAGCACGTCTTGTCGGATTACTATTTCGCTATGGGCGTCCGATGCGGACAAACACAGCTAGGTCTCCTATCGTCAGTTTCGTTAAGTTACACATAAGGTCATGTCAGCCTATTGAAACAGACGCTTTGATTTGGTCTGTTAATCTCTGCAGGGTTAGTAATCAATCCAGTAGGTGAATGTATCAAACTTAATCTGGTGGGTGGCATACGGCAGGCTTCGGTGATTGCCCATCGGTTGCGTCAGCAGCGCAGCACCACAATCGGCTCAGGGTAAACCGCTTGTGGCTTACCCCATATGCGAACTGGTTCAATCACCGTTGGTCGACGTCAATCCACAGTATGAACTGGGTATGACATCTTAGACACAGTTTCGGCCACCTGTCACAAACTTTGTCAAGGATTTTACAATAAAAAAATCCACTGATGAAAAAAAACAAAATGA